CACTAATCTGAAGACCACATGAAGCTCTGCAGACAGTTGGCAACTTCTGCACACTGTGCGCCTCAGCATGCGTTGTCCCCGCTCTGTGATTTTACGTGGCCTGTCACTCTGTGGCTGAGTTGCTGTTGTTCCTAATTGCTTCCACTTTGTTATAATACCACTAACAGTTGACCATGGAATATTTAGTAGTGAGGAAATTTCACAAATGAACTTATTGCACAGATGGCATCCTATCACGGTACCACGCTTGAATTCACTGAGCTCCTGAGAGTGACCCATTCTTTCACAAATGTTTGTAGAAGCAGTCTGCATGTCTAGGTGCTTGATTTTATACACCTGTGGCTATGGAAGTGGAACATTCAATGATTCGGAGGGGTGTCCCCCTTTTGGCAATATATTGTGTGTGTGTGTGTGTGTGTGTGTGTGTGTGAACCTTGGTTCAGGTTCACTATACTGATGGATACGTGCTTATTGGAAAGGTTGTTGCGTACAGTATTATGCAAAAGTCTTTGGCAGCCAAAGGAAATGTTATTTAAATAATCTTCATGTTGTTGTAAAAGTACGATATTACATCTGTCAAAGTGTGTTAGTTTAGCTGTTTCAAACCCCCTCCTAAAGTCACCCCAGGATTCGCAGCCACCATTCGATACACCCATTTATTTTTGTGACTCCACCGCTCGCATATCATGTTTGTCTAATCAATACCTCATTGAGTTATTTAACTAATTAAGTTAATTAATTGAGAGCTGGTGGTGAAATTTAACAAATATATGGAATGGCTGAGGTGAGGTTTGGGGCTGAAAAGATCCTCATCTAGCTGTTGAACAAGATATTTTTCTGGAGAGCAGAATTTTTTTTGAGAACAAAACTCTTAATTTGCATATGTTTTAATGCTAAATTGTGTTTTTTTCTGAGCAAATTCACACTTATTACCCAGGTAAATAACTTTAAACATTTCATTGACTGCCTCTGCCTTTTTGCACAGTACTGTAGCTGTAGGAAGTGTGATAACAGTGTGATTTAAGGATGGCCTGTCACTCACGTGACGTCACGCCAACCCACTTTCAGCACCAACTGGATATTTCACATCCGTCGAGGCTCAATATCCCAGCCACTTTCCTGTTTTTGGGAAATTCAGTCTCTGGGAAATTTGCACTCCATCATTCGCTGAACCAGAGCAGACAGTCGGCAGCAGTTCAGTTAAGGTGCAGACGGCTTTCATGGGGACCAGGCTCTGTGCGGCCGCTACTTTGGCCCCGGAGCAGGGCGCGATTTCCCGCTCAGCCCTCTGGGGTCACTGTGCGACCGCCACTTCGGCCCCGGGGCCTAGAGCGGGGCCCGATTTGGCATTCCCATTCAGCCCTCTGGGGTCACTGTGCGGCCGCCACTTCGGCCCCGGGGCCCGGAGCGGGGCCCGATTTGGCATTCCCACTCAGCCCTCTGGGGTCACTGTGCGGCCGCCACTTCGGCCCCGGGGCCCGGAGGAGGGCCCGCTTTAACATTCCTGTTCAGCCCTCTGTGGGTGACGCAGCCCATTCATTACCTAATTGGCCTTTATCGTTGGGAGCTGTGTGAGATTAACAGGAAGGAAGTTGTTGCGGCGGAAGGCTGGACGTCGCCAAGCTGTGGCCATTTGTCCAAAGCAGCACACAGAGTGGATTCTCCTGCTGTCCGAGAGCAGAACAATGCTCATTCCTCACAGCCCCGCGGGCAGACTGACCTGATGAATACCATGCTTAATTAACTCTGACATCTTTAAACACTGCTGTAGGTGTTGTGGCTGGTGGGGGGGGATTATGGGGGTCAGCCTGAGGTGAGGGAATTCGGCCTTTGGCTCAACGTGGCCCAAACAGTTTTATGTGGCTGATTTTGCTTTTCTTAGGTGCTAAATGTTCATCCCATTCTGCTTAACAGTCTATATCCGGATGGAGGATCTTGATGTGCAGTCACAACTTCTAATGGGGAAATTAGAGGGCAGGCAAGCAGGGGTAGGGGGGTAGGGGGGTAGGGGAGTGTGCCTGCTTAATTAAGGAGGAGGAGTGGAGTGTTGAGGAGAGACGGGCTGGGATAAACCACAGAGGTAACAGGTAGTCCGTCCTCCATCCAGCTTTCTGAGGATGTCCCAGTCTATGCTATCAGCAAAAATCTCTCTGCCGCACTTCAAAAGGTACATCAAAGGCAGGCCAGACCGAGATCTCATTAGCAGTCATAATGTGTACAAACTTTTCTCTACTCTGAATACCGGGCAAAATGTTCTTTGCTTTTGAAGACAGTTTTTGTTGGAGGATTACTCAGCTAAACATTTACAATTGGTGTCCGTTTTAAAACGGCAAATTACATGAAACATTACCCAGGAATGCTGACTGAATTTAGGCTTGGAGAGCGGAGGGCGAAGCTGAAGGGTATGGAGAACAAACAGGAGTGTGACGGCAAACAAATCATCATTTTATATTTCTGTCAATGGCAGTAAATGACATTACTCAATAAAAGACTGACACAGAAAATGCTTTGTTAGTAAATGGTCCTCAGCCGCGTATTACAACGAAACATAAGGCTTGTTTTGCAGTTTTTCAGTACTTGCAGCATGGTTTGCTACAGCCATTTTTAAGGGCTACTCACCTGGTACAGGTACAAGATGATGTGGGTATAAGGGCATGTTGGGCGCTGACAACTGGTTATGATGACTAACTGGTTAGGTTATATTAGGGATGTGGGTAAAGGGGGTGGCTTAGTTGCTTGGAGCTGACAAATTTGCCATCAGATATAACCCTGAGAATTTTACATTTTGTCTGTGTAACAGGATCATACATAATTTATAATCCACAATGGTGTCTGCAAATGAGGTTTTAATAGCCACAGAAAAATGCCATTTTGAACAGGTAGTAGAAATTATGTGTTTCGATTTCTGCAAGTAAGTGAGTTTGAAGTCGGCGCACAGGGGCCATCATGGTTGTTGGAAGAGGACATGGAAATTTCCCCTTTTTGCTGAGAAACTTTCCCTTACAGAGTGGCACTGAAGTGGTTTGATGGATGGTTCTAATCTGCTTTGCCGCTGCATGGCTTCCTGCTCCCTGTGTTTGCTTTAATTCTCGTAATGGTGCAATTCATGGTGAGGCGCTCGGGACAGAGGCCTCCTCCAGAATGGCATCACATTTCTCCGACGTGCCACTGCCAACGCAGCCTTGTTTCCCGTCACCACGGAAACAGTTCAAACAGTCCAAGGTAATGGAAATATTCATTTAAAATAATGGTGAAACACTTTTCTGTTCTCCCTAAGACTATTGGATGTACCTTTGAAAAGGCAGCTCTGCTTTGAAAGTCTCCTAAGTTATTTACTGTATGGATGCCCCCCCTCCCCCCCATCATGGCTGTTAGACAAAACGACAAGGGAGCATTTCTGGGCACGTCCCACCGGGCAGACCCAGCACATGCTGGAGGGGCTGTATCTCCCAGATGCCTGGGCAATATTTGTAGAACCCCCAGAATGCTTTGCTGGACAGAATAACTCTACATTGTACTTAATTCAGCCAAAATTTCTTATTTCAGCCATTTTAAAAATGTAGTTATTATTTGGATACTCGTTTGATGTTTTGTGAGTGTGCTGTCAAATTCTGTTACATGCTGCTGACTGGATGGTTTGAGTAAGGCTTCCCGTGTATGGATGAACAAAATCACAAACTTGCTTCTTGAACCAGCACCAGTCCAGGGCTTCAGTAAGAGGTCTAGTCTGACCTGCTTAGCATGCTTCCAGCGCGACCATCACCAGGAAAAGTGGTGAAGAAGATATCATGGCTGTCTCTTAAAGCATAAATATGCAATTGCTCAGTGGAGGATAGGGTGACGTAATAAATAAATGGTCCTGTGCAGGTCTGATTCCTTTTCTTCGTTGGAAATTACACCAGTCACAATTTAACAGCAATTCACAACTATTTCACACTGTGTCATAAAAAGTTTAGGAGATGCCAAAGTGGATCAGTGCCCAAGACCTATTGAACCATCACACTCTGCCAGCGACACTGAGCATGCAAGAGGCATCACTGGAGCAAAAACACCTTCACTGTGAAATTTTTGAAAACGCTTTTGATTGTGGAAAACAACGTAATTCGTAGCATACGAATGTGCATGTGGGGATTTCATTTTAATAAGAGAAGGTATCAGTTGTGCTACTGCGCTGTATTAGCCAGCCCAATACTATGTGATTAAGTCTGGAATTTCTCCCTGTTGACTCACTAAAGCCAAAAAGGTTGGAAAATCAGTGAAATACATACACTTTAATACCATCATACAAATATGTTATACAGCAAGGTTTGAAGAATTTCTCCTCAAATGCAGAAGTGCGGTCGTTAATAACTGACTACGTGGCTCCCGTTGGATTTCCGTTTGATTACAACGAAGAATAAACGGTTTCATTTGAAATCAAGGCACTCCTGTTTTTCGTCAGTTTTAAGAAATGTTTGACACACCATCCATACATATCTTTGCATAGGCGTGAGCCCTAATGCTCCACGCTCTCTTAGACATTGAGGGTTTATTGACTTTGTCCTAAGCAATATAGCCATATAATCAGCAGTAATCCATAAGCAGATTTTAAAACATTGGCGCATAGCTGGTATAAAAAGATTGAGACTGAGAAATAGTCATTCGGCGATTTTCTCGTGAAGAAAAATGAACGAACGACGAAATTAAATAGTGGTATTTTTCGCATATTTACAAAACGTGCAATATATCGTTAAAATGTATATAGCAGATCCTGGTCTTTTTTTTATTATTATTATTGTAATGCTACTCTAAGCACTCTCGGGATGCCTCGTTCTCCGTACTAGAGGTGAAAGCACATACGGATCCGTCATCCCTACATTCTCACATCCCCGATCGCATCGAGTACCAGGGTAACGTGCCGCGCTCCGCAGGCACGCTCCCGCCCCCCAGAGGCTCGCTTTCCCCCTGCTCGCTTCTAAGGACGGTTGCCAGGGTTTCCGGGCACGCGCGAGCGGCGCGGCGACGCGCACTTCAATCTCGGTAGATTGCCAGACATGGCGGCGGATCTGAACCCGGAGTGGCTGTCCTGCCTGCCGTCTTCATGGAGTTATGGTGTTACGCGGGACGGACGCATCTTCTTCATCAAGTAAATATGAAGTGGACACGAAAATCGGACGTGCTCGCCTGGTTCCGGCCCGAATGTTCAACTTAGTCTCTCTTGCATTTCTTACACCTTTCCCCCCCATGTCTCGCCAACAGTGAAGAAGCAAAGAGCACAACCTGGCTCCATCCGACAACGGTGGAGGCCGTCAGCACCGGCCACCGGAAAACTCCCGGTAAATATTCCCAAGTTCGCCTCGGAGCCCCGGCGCTCCTCCCAGGTTCACTTATCGGTTAGGGCTTAAGGACGAGTCCGCCCCCTGCCCGGCTCCGTCCCTACCGGCTGTCAGTACCGTTATTCGTCCTGGAAGCACCGGACACGACAGCTGGACGGCAGCTGGACGGCGCCCGCCAGCGGTACCTGGCGACAGAGCGAAGTCGCCGCAAAGTTTGGGTTTTTGTCAGGTCCGGCTTGTGACGCGGGGCGGCGTGAGCTCGGCTGCTACGGTAATGCCGGCTCGCGGGGAGGCATCCCGCGGAGCCTGCCGCGGTGTGATGGGTAGCGGAGGCGGACGGCTCGCCGCCGCGCACCCGCGCCGCATTGGAGTACCGTACCACCGGAGAGGGGGGGGGGGGGACACGGCGGCTTCTGCTGAGGCAGCCCCAAAAACCCGGAGCGCTCGTCTGCAAGAATACCGGCGGGTGTAGATGGTGACGGGGGGGGACAGAGAGGTGAGGGCGCTGCGTGGCATCTTCGCGGAATCGCACGATGCTCCGTGTGATGGCACTGCGGACCGGGGACGCGGCGGGCGGCGGATACGTGTCCTCAGGCGGCACCGTCCGCTATGCTGCCGCCGCCGCTGCTTTGGCCGCGAATCTCTCGTTGCTGCTGTGCAGCCATCCATCCATCCATCCATCCATCCATCCATCCATCCATCCATCCATCTATCTATCTATCTATCTAATCTGACATCTGTTTTTTTTTTAATTTACTTTCTTCCGTTATAGATTTACCAACTGGATGGGAGGAAGGATTCACCTTTGAGGGAGCCAGGTGCTTTATAAAGTAAGTGGGAATTACCAAGTGTCAAGGTGCCTTGAAGCCTCTCAATTCTGCATTTCCACCCCTTTGCCCCCCCCCACATTGCCTGGTGCGTTGCCCCCCCCCCCCCCCCCCCC